GCATTTCTTTGACATGATGGTGCCCACTGAAAAGAAAGCAAGTCTGAACTTCCTGACCGGTGTTCTCAGGAGGGCCTTTGGGCCAGTGGTGGATGCCAAGTGATGACTGGGAATGTTCATTACTTTGCTTATTAATCATTAAGGTGGCCCAAATCCCTTAGAGGACTTAGATGCCAGAGAGAATCTGTAGATGAACCATGCATAAAATTTCGTGGGGACTTTGCTCACTCTCTTTTCTCCATAATACCTTTATTTTATTTATTTATTTTTATGTGGTGATGAGCATTGAACCTAACACCTCACACATGCCAGGCAAGTGCTCTACCACTGAGCACAACCCCATCCCTTCTCCACTCTCTTTCTTAAACATACCACTTTGGATCATCTGCAGGGTCTTTGCATGGTTGCCTCTTCTGTCAAACCTTTCCTGTTTATTCTTTTGAGGCTACTTTCTCTCTCATTCAGACTCATTTTACAGGTCACCAGTTCAGAAAATCTTCCATGGACACCCACTCTGAAGATGCCTCTCTGTTACTCTTTTGCAGATCACTCGGCTTTAAATTTATATAGAATTGTTCCCCTTATTTGTGGAGATTTGTTCCAAGGCCCTCCAGTGGATGTCTGAAACTTCTGATAGTTCTAAACCTTATACTATGTTTTTTTTTCTGTGCATACATACATACTGTGGATATTCGGGACAAAGAGATGATTCATGTCCCAGTGGGATGCAGTGGGATAGTGTGAGGTTTGATCACACTACTTGGAACTGTGTGCAATTTAAAACTTAGGAATTGAACTAGAGTTGTAGAGTGGTAGAGCACTTGCCTAGCACATGTGAGGCACTGTGTTTGATCCTCAGTACGACATAAAAATAAATAAAATAAAGATATTGTGTCCATCTACAACTGAAAATATTTTTGAAAACCTAAGAATTGCTTATTTCTGCAACTTTCCATTTAACTCTTTTGGATTGTGGTTTATCATGGGTCACTGAAACTATGGAAAGTCAAGCTGTGGGTGAGGTAGTGGTGGGGAGGACTATTATATAACAAACACCACTACTTGACATGTTATTGTCAGGCTTGGGTGTTAGTCTGTATGTGATTTGGTGCCTGGACAGGGCTGGCATACACTTGGTGCACAATAACTGCATAAAGAAGGCCAGGGATCACTCTTGAGTTAAGCACTGTGGTTAAAGTCATCAACTGTGAAGACAGATCTGGATGCTAATACTGGACTAACTTTGTGATCCAAGCTCAGTCTACCTGTACTAAAGTTTCCTCATTTATAAAAGGAAGGTGATGATAGCTCCTATACTGCAGTATTGTTGTGAATTTATATGACGTGGTAGATGTCAGACTTTCTGAATGATTTCTGCATGTGGTGAATGCATTGTAAATTATAGCTAAGACCTTCACCATCACCATCACTAACACTATCAACATCTTCAAGATCACCATCACTACCACCACTATCATTACCATCATCACCATCACCATTATCATTATCACCAATACCAGTCCCACCACTACCTTCATCATTACCACTACCTTCATCATTACCACCACCATCATCATTGCCATCACCACCAACACCATCAACACCACTATCACTGTCACTATCACCACCATCATCACCACCACCACCATCAACACCATCATCACTGTTACTATCACCACCACCATCACCACCATCCCCATCCCCATCTCATATGCCTGCCATGGTGTCCTGAATGGGCTGCCATATCCAGGGTCAGATGATTGGGGATTTATGGACTTGGGTCTTTCTGCTCTGGTAATCTGCTTCTGCTGGGTCTGGGAGAGGTAAGAGCAGTGACATTCCACTCTCCCTCCACACATACACATGAAAGCAGCTCCTGAAGGTGAGGGGACAGGGAAGACTGCTTTCTTTGGGAGAATGAGCCCCATGTGCAGCACTTTTGGCTCTGCAGATGTGATGCTCGTTGCCATGGTGACTGTCCTAACAATAACCTCCTAGAACCCATATTCCCCACAACCACCCCAGCTGCCACCTGGGAGGGAGAGCCCTCCTTGCTTACGAATGTGAGCTAGAAAGGACAAGGTGGGAGGCAGAGATGACATGGGAGTGGGGGCGGAAGAGGGTCCTTCCTGAAGAGAGGGGGTGGGGTGGGAGGAGAGGAGAGTTTGGGCCTGAATAGAGTCAAAGGGAATGAGAGGGCTTCTGGATTCCAGACCAGAAAGAGTCATAGCTGGAAGCATTTCTTCATTCCAATCTTTTGCCCTGTGAGGGAGAAACCCTCTGTCTCTGGAGGCAGGAGTGGGCTGTTCTGTGTGGGGAGGGACAGCCTGGCTGCCTGTGGTAGCTGAACCCTTCCTCACTGTTTAGTGCCCACTTGCTCTGACTTTCCTGTCCTCATCAGGGCCACCTGATTTCTAATGTTCAGCCCAGAGAGAGCTCCTGGGCATCCCAGGTGCTAACAGAAACAGAGGTGGGGGAGATACAGTGGGCCTCAAATTGTGCCTCTTAGTGATTTCAACTTTTTGTGTAACCCTGATCCTGGATAGCCTCCCTACTTTTTGAAAGGTGACCTCATATGAGACCACCCAGAATGCTACTATGTCTTCATTTGGGGCTTCAAGAAGCTGTATGTATAGATGTGTGTGTTTGCATGTGTTTGTGTATGGGTGTACCGTATATTCACACGTGTTTGTGTGCATTGTTTGTGTACATATTACATTTATATGTGTATGCATGCACATGTGTTTCTGTATGTATGTCAGTAAGTGTGTATATATGTGTATCTGTATATGTGTGTTTGTGTGAGAAAGTTAAAGCTAAGGGAGGCTTCTTGGGCCATGAGGTTTGAATCCCAGCCACTTCTTGTGGCCATGTAACTTACCTCACTTCTTTCTTTGTTATCCCATCTAGTAAAATGGGATAATGATAATACATGCCTCATAAGATTGAGAAATAAATAAGAAAACATGTAAAATGCATGTAAGAACAATCAATGTCTGCTGTCATTAAGTTCCAGTATCACTTTGTATCTGAACACATCGGTAGGAGTGTATGTGATTTTGGGTAGCTTGGAGTCTGACTTACAGAGGGGTGCAATTTTGTTTTGTTTGTTTTGCTAATTGTACTCTATGTGTAGCCCTGCCTCCTCCTTCTGGAACTCAGAAAGGGCACAATGCAGCTGCTCCCAGCAGGTGCAGGGACAGGCTCCTGTGGGGTTAGATCCCAAGAACAAACCTTGGTTCCCCAACCTGTGACTGTTAGGATAGCCTAGGGTTCTCCATGTCTAAGCCCAATGCTGAGGCACAAACTGCTATCCCTTCCTGCCTGCTTTTCCTTCTTGCTGAGATCAAGGCCAGGCTTTCTTTGCCTCAACTGGTTTTACCTGGAAACCACACTTGCTTTGAACTTGTGCATCTCCCTCATCCTCTAGCTATCCATCTTCTGACCAGGGCAGGGATTTGCCATGTGGCATACTCCTTGCCAGGCAGCTCAGTGCCAAATGCATCCTAGCAGGGAAGGACCCTAGCTGCCCTCTGCAGAACCCTCATTAGCTCCTTTATCCAGGAGACATTGTGGTTTCCAGGGGTAGGCATGGTCTTGCCTGGGGTTGAGGTACCAGCTGGACAAGCCCAGAGTCTGCCCTTGGGGAGCAGTAAGCAGGTTATCTCAGGGCAGCAGTCTGGCCCTATCCAGAACTGATTGGAAGACTCTGACCTCAGAGCCTGCCTGGGACAGACCTGGTCCCATCCCATCAGAAAAGTGTGGGTGCTTGCCCTGGGGGAAGGCTTTTGTAAGAAACAGGGTGGGTCCTGCCTCCACCCTCCCTTCTTCCCTGCCTGTGCTCAACTCCTCCTCAGCCTTCAGGGCCACTTTCAAGAGATGGAGAGGGGAAGAGTGGACTCTCTCCTTCCAGGGCAGAGAAGGGGGCAAGCAGATGGACAAAGCCTGGTGACTTCAAGTTGTCAGGACCCCAGAGTCCCTGACAGAGCAGTCATTGTACCTCTGGCTCAAGGTCCCTCTGCCTGGATTCCAAATGTCCATTCCTGGGACTTCAGATACTCCAGCAGCCAATCATAGAAGGAAAAAAGGGGGCAGCTCTCACCCTCCCACTCTCTCACCCTGGTGTGTGCTCAGCCTGGGAAGCCCCTGGGCTGCTCTGCCAGGCCAAGCAAGAAGCCACTGTGCATGTGAAACGATAGAGACTGGGCAGGGTGGGTCTGGCAGCATCTTTTCATGGGACTGTAAGGAATGAGTCCTCTGGGTATGGCACACGAATAATCTTCCATGTGGACACCAGTTCCCCACTGCAGCCCAGGGGAGGGAAAACCTTCAGGGCAGAGGAGGCTGGGTTCATTGTATGCAGTCCCTTGTGTGTGTGTGAGTAGGGGAGTCGCTGGCATCCTGGTATCCCAGGGAAGAGCCAGCTCTTCGGTGGTTGCCTGTGCAGGGCGCGGTGGGTGCCCGGCGCAGGTGCAGTGTGCGGGCACCGTGCGGGTGCGGCCCAAGTGCGGGGGCGGGGCGCGGGCACGGCTGTTAGTGCGATGTGCGGGCGCAGTGCGGGTGCAGGCGCGGGCGCGGAGTGTGTGCGGGGTGCAGGCGCGATTCCGGTGCAGGGTGAGGCGCGCGTGCGGGTGCAGGCGCGGGAACGAGTGCAGGTACAGGGCACTGGTGCGGTGCGTGTGCGGGTTCAGGCAGGAGCTGGGTGAGTAGGGTGCGGGCGCGGCGCGTACAGAAGGCAGCGGGCCCGGCGGGCGCGGCGGCGGTGACAGCGGCGCCCGCGCCTCCCCGCGCGTAGGTGTGCGGCGCGCTCCTGGCGGGGACCGAGCGAGCAGATCTCGCGTGCGCTCGCCGCGCGGCGCAGCCCAGCCCGGCCCCCGCCCGGCGCCGCGAGCCGAGGTGTCTCCCGCGCCCGCGCCCGTGTTGCCGCCGTGCCCGCGAGCGGGAGACGGAGTCGCCGCCCGAGCGCAGCCGAGCGCACGCCGAGCCCGTCCGCCGCCGCCATGGCCACCACGGTGACCTGCACCCGCTTCACCGACGAGTACCAGCTTTACGAGGATATTGGCAAGTAAGAGCCACGGCGCGCGCGTCCTGGCCTGGGACCCCAGAGGAGTGGGGCCCCGGGGAACTGGGACCCTCCGCGTCGCGGGTTCCGAGCGCACTGCGGCCCCGCGCGTCCCCGGCTCCTCCCGGTTCCTGGCCCTACCGCACGGCCCCGCGTGGGCCTGACCCTCGAGCTTCGGTGCTGGGCCCGGCTGCTGGACCGCAGCGTGTACGGCCCTGCCCAGCTTGGTGGCTCGGCCGGGGCCCGGACTCAAGGTTCTGGACTCGGCGCGGCGGGGGCGGCAGCAGGTGTCCCCGGAGCGCCGGACAGACGTGACGCATTTGGCGGCGGGGAGGTCAGAGAGGAGGGGCACATGGGGGTGACAGCCGGGCCTGGAGCTCCGGGAGGGGTCAGCCGTGGCCCCAGGGGGTCATCCCCCGTGTGGGAACGCTGTCCCCACCCCCACCCGAGCGGCAGGCGGCGGGGGTGGCGGACCTGCTCCCGCCTGCTTCTGCGCGTGGCCCCATCTGTGCGGGGGGTGCCGGCGTGGGAGCAGCTTCTGCCAGGGGTCCCTTGAGGAATCTGGGTTCTGGAGGATTTTTCCCCCCAGATTCTTCTGGAAACGAATTTGGAGAGCGGGGGAAGAGGTCAAAGAGCCTGGATCAGGTCATCAGGGTGGGAAATGAGGGGGTGAGGCGGGGAACCCGATTGGGCTTCTGACTTTGGGGTCATCGAGGCAGGTGGAGACTGGATTTTGGGGCATTATTTTTTGTGGTGGTGATTGGTTGAAAGGAGGGGGTTTGGAAGCTTGTTTCAGGTAGGGCCTCACGGGGAACAGGTGCCCTGGCTCCTCTACTGTGCTCCGCAGCGTGAACAATGTGGGGGCGGGAGCCCTAGTTTGGAGTGTCCAGACCTGGCTTTGCCCCTTGGGTCAGAGACCAAGAAGCCCTTCAGGGGCCTCGTCTCTAACGTGGGGTCTCCTCTCTGAGTCAGGGTAGCTGCACTTGGCATCCCTTGGGGCTGGTTTGAGAACTCCAGATCCCCGTCTCCTCCCCCCTCCCCCCACCCCTCCTGCGCGGTGGGGGAGCTGGCGAGATTTCCTATTACACATCCAGCAGCAAATCCTTTTTTTCCTTTACTAAAAAAGCGTCTGGTGAAACCTTGTGGTGGGCGAGGGACGCTAATCATTGATAATTGTGGAGTGCCCAGCTGGAGGAGTGTGGGGGTGTGCGCATTCCCCACTTCCCTGCACGTGTGGAGAGGAATCGGGTCAGGCCTGGGGGGTGAGGAACACAGTGAAGTGACAGAGAGGAAGTCTATGCTGGATAGCAAGGGGTGGGGGTTGGGTGGACCTGGAGAGCCACCCAAGGGACAGGCCAAGCACTCCTCCATCCTCACTGTGTGCTCCTCCCTGTGGGCCCAGGGACACAGGTCTTGAAGAAGCTTCTAGGAGCTGTCTGGGGGATGGAGGCCTGTGAGGAAGAGGGTGACAGGTTGGGAGCCCTTAGGTGGGGGTGAGCTGGCTTCCTTTGTGGACAGAAGGCCCAGGGCTGTGGGTGGGGGGCTGGCTCTCCAGCTCTCAGACCCTCAGTTGAGTGGCTCTGTTCCTGTCCATCCTGTCTCCTCCAGAGCTGTGTCCTGCACTGCGGGGCAGATGGCAGCAGTCAGTGTGCCTGCCTGGTTCTGTCAGGAAGAAGCAGCAGGGGGTAGTCTCTTCTTCCTGGGGAAGCTTCTTGTCTTCTTTTGTGCTTGTGCTCAGGCCTCACCAGTCTCCTCCAAGAAGCCCCTTTCAGGACCTCCCAATTTGCCCTGGTTTCCCAGTCTGCAGCTCACCACTGCTCTTCCCTTCTTCGATTTGGTGTGAGCTTCCCTGAGTCGAGCGATGGTGTAAGTGACCAGCCCTCCCCTGAGCCTCTGGGTCTAGCAGCTGTTGGTTATTGTCACCCACACTGGGGTGTGGAGGTTGAGAGGGCTGATGGCAGGTGAGACAGAGGGCTCAGACAGGTGAGAGCTGGGGCCACCAGCTCCTTCTGTAGACAGGCAAGACAGTGAGCCCTCATCATAAAGGAGCACATGGAGAGGCCAGGCATGTGATCAGGCAAGGAATGAAGCCTCAGGTCAAGGGGCCCACTGGGACCTGGGACCAGAGGCTAGGAATCCTAGCCAGAATGAGTTGGTTCAGCCTAGCATCCATTTGTGGAGTTTGCTAGGTGCCAGGGCCAAATGCAGGAAGTATATTTGGAGGGCAAGACACCCCTAGGCCAAGCTGGGGGAACTCAGGCCCATCCTGCCATGGCCTTGTCCGACAATTGTTGATAGCGCCTGCCTGGGGCACAGTGGTGTTGCTTCCCAGCCCCAGGTGGACACATCCAAGTTTATTTAAAGCCATAGTCCTGGCACCCAGTCAGGCTGACTCCCTGCTTGGCGGAAGGACAGGGTCACAGGCCCACAGCTGCGTGTGTGTGATGGGGCGTTGGCCTTTGCCTTCTCGGCTGTCTCTGCTCCTGATCTTTCCCTGGACACTTGGGCAGCAAGTCAACTGGCCAAGGAGAGATACTTTCTGGGGCCTGCTCCACTTGTCCCCAGTGACAGTGCTGCAGTGTGTGCCCTTCCTTGCCCAGCTCCGTGAGGCTTGTGGACATTTGCCCGGAGGCCCATATGCTGGGATACGGAACCACCTCTAGCCTAGGTCCTGCGAGCCGACACAGAGCAAAGGAGGAAAACCCTCAGTCCACACGGACCAAATAACAGTACAGTTTACTTTTTTTATTAGATTTTTAAAATCCAGAAATTCTAGGATAAACAAAATGAACACTCCTGTCTCTTCTACCCAGAATTGAAAACTATTCATCATTTTGGTTTAAGTCCTGTTTTAAAGTTATGAAAAGTAAAGCATTACAAATAAATGTTAAGTAACCCATTTTCCTCTGACTGCTGTTAGGCATTTGTATCCTTTCTCCCGGGCTCTTGAGCCTGGGAGATAGAAGTATCCATACTAATATGTGGGATTCTTTCACGTGTTTTCTCAGCATAGTCTTATTGACATCTGTGCGCACCAATAAATTGTGGTCGCCGACTGCTGCGTGGTGATCCATCATATGAACACCACGTCTCATCTGCTTTCCTCCTGATGGGAGTCTAGATTTGCTTCCTGCTTTGCACTCTTACCCACCACGAGACCAACACTGTGCATGTGTTCGCTAGTGCAGGGGTGAGAGTTTCTTTGGGGTTTATCCCTGTCAGTGGGGTTTTCAGTGAGGGTCTACCCTGCCATGTCCACTCCCACTAGTTGTGTTGTGGATGCCCCTGCCCTTGGTGCTGCTCTCCCTGGCACAGGCAGGTGGTGAAGGTTTATGGGCAGGAAGTGTCTCACTTTCTGGATTCTGGCTTGTGAATCTTTCACTTTTGGGGAGTCATTGTTGCCTTAAAATATAGATGATCCCCTTAGAGGAAAACAGTTCCCATGAGGTTTTATATGTAATTTCAGGAGTTCATGAACCCCTCCAGAGGACTGGGGCCATGGCCCACGTGGTTACAGCATCTAATGGGTGTGGAACTTTAAATGTTTGATATTATTTGAGCTATCCAGGAAGGCTTTCCCTCCACCTCTGTTCTACAACTACAGAAACTGCTGGGAAGGTCAGCGACTTGCCCAAATTCAGGCAGCAGGTATGCCCTTGACTTCCAGCCCAGGGTATCTCCCATTCCTTCCAGCAATCCCCAAACCTCAGATAGGCCTAGAATTGACCTTGATGTGTCCTTGACTCCTCCATTGGCCCCCAGGAAGTAGAGAGCAGGCTGCATTCTGGGGCATGTGTAACCTGCCCACTCACTGGAAGTATTGCTGTTTGCTCCTGCTTTCTGCCAGCAGGCCTACTCTGCACCAGTGGATGGCCTGCTAGGTAGTTAATAGGTAAACTTCAGAAATTCAGAGCAGATCAATTTTTGAGACTTCCTTGCTTTGAAGCGGTTGCCAGGGAAGACAGGAATGGAGTGGAGGAGGAATCTTGTATTTGCTGTTGTGTTTGCTTTCCTCCTCCCTTCCTCTGGTACATCAGTCCCTTCCTGTCTCAGGGTCTTTGCCAATGACAGGCTCCATTTTCTTGGGCTACTCAGCCAGGCTGTCCCAAACACTATCCCTCCCCCAGTTGCCTTTCCCTCCCCAGGACTCTCGTTACTTTGCCTTCTCCCTTGTACCCTGCACTGTGGGATACTGGGGTGCAAGATGTGTTAGGACTTGGCCACTTACCCACCCAAAGGCAGGGCTGGGTTCCCTAGGTCCTGGCCTGAGGGTGGCTTCTCCAGGTGAGGAAGGGGTGAGTGGCCTCAGGCCTACTGGTCTGTCTCCAAGAAGGCCAGAGAAGTTCTGGTCTTGATTCTTTAATGTAGGGTAGTTTAAAAAGAAGTTGCACATGCTGAGGTTGCTGGCAAGATGCGCATTAAGGTGCCGCTAGTTTAGTTACTATTTAATGGTATTTTTATACCATAACCTACTTTGCTGAGAGCTAAGAATATATCTGCATGCTTGCTACCGGACTCTTTCTTTTCTGGTAACAGTTGCTAGCACTTCAGTGGTGCTTATTTTATTAACATGCTTGCTCTGTGAAATAGGTGCTGTGATTATTCCCAGTTTACAGAAGAGGCGACTGAGGCACTAAGAAGCCCCATCCCCTGCAAAAAGTCATACAGGGTCAGAGTTTGATTCTAGGTACTTTGACTCTGAACTCTATAATCTGCTTCTCTCAAAAGCACATGAACCTACTCTATAGTGTACTTTAAAAATGCTGTTTTTCTGTTAACTGACTTGTGGCAAGCTTGTGGTCCACTCTGAACCCAGGCTCCTGGAGACTGCACCTGTCCTCAGCTAGCAGCTTGCCATGCTGTCTTTGTGCCTTTCCAAACCCAGGGCACTGCCCCCAGTTCCCATTTGTGAAAATTTCATTTCTTTTCATTGTCTCTCCTTGACAACCAACAATCTGACCCCATTTGAAACCAGTAAGACTTGAAACTTTTATTTTATTAAT